ACAGTAGTATTGGAAGGGAACGAAATGCTAACAATATTGGCTTCTTCACAACTAGTACAAGCATGTTTATCTGACTGACGAATAGTATGTTTGCCGAGTAAAGATTGACCAAACATCAAGGAAAGACGACCAGAGTGTGGGTGCCCCAACCGAGCATGCCATAAATCCCACATATTATTCGAAAGACACGAAAAAACAGGACTACAGACAGACCTAGTCGAAGGACTACTGACAGATGACGAATCTGAAATCCCATGAAACTTTTCCAAGTGAAAAATCCGGCCGCGCTTACTCCCCCTTTCGATCTGCCTCCCCGTCTTCAAATCTTGTATTATACAGCCAGTCAAAGCAAAAACAACAGAACAACCAGGTTAGGAACCAATTTCAGCACATGCAACGTATTATGTAATTCAACTAAATCATTAGTAGTTTTCCAAATTCCTTGCACTTGAAGAGTGTCACCATTAGCTACCGTGAGAGACATGTCTTGAATGGGTTTAACTGAATGCAAATCACTTTTATTTCGGGTCATATGATTGCGGCAAGCTGAATCTAACAACCATGGTTTGTTAGAACGTTTACCTGACCCCTGGGGAGTGGCAAAGGCAGCGGAGATAGCAGTAGGAAGGGAGCGCTAAAGTGCTTCATTTACAATCCTCTCCACTACGGCAGGTGTCATGCTCGAACTACTGCTTGCTCCTGTCGAGTCATGATAAGCAGCCTTGGGAGTTTTCTTAGATGGTATGGTGACATACGCAGCATGTCCAGAGCAGTGCCATGCCGAGGCGGGGCTGGACGATCAGTGGGAGCTGAAGAAGGAGGCTGACTCCCTCCATAGCGGGCTGCATTCCTTTCGCGGGTGCGGCAGTCGAGAATGATGTGTCCATTGCGCTTGCAATAGACACAAAAGTTCTTCTTCCGGCAATGTTTCTGAACATGTCCCTGTTCTCGGCATTGATGGCATTCTAATTCAGTAGTGGGAACCCTTTGTTGGAATTGCGGACGTCCCACAGCATAAGCGGAGCCATAACCGCCGCGAGAATCTCCTGGAGCTACAACAGCTGCGAGAATGGTCTCGCCATCCCCAGGTCTCATATCAAGTTGGGACAGCGTTTGAAGCCAAATTTCCTCTCAAACCAAGCTGCTAAGGATCCCATCAAATCGTAAGACATCCCGGTTGAGGAGCGGAGCACGTACAGGCTCGAACTCAGGCCTGAGTTTCATCAAAAATTGCATGATACGTTCACGCTGGCGCTCCTCCAGCATGTCTTTGGAGATCACGACGTTGGGTCTCAATGCCGAATTCAATAGATCCTCTTCAGTCCATAATTCCTGGGCTGCATAAGTATTCATTGACAGATTTTTCACCTTGTGTGAGACGGGCGAGAGCAAACTGTAACTCGAACTGGCGAGCTGCGTTGACCGTCGAGTAGGTGGAGGAAAGATGCTTACAGATACGGTTGGCAGTTGGAAAAAGGCGCAGACTCAAACAGGTGGATGGATCCATCGATCCCAGCAACCACGAGCGGACTCGGGCGTCATTCTGATTCCGTGCGGCAATTTCCTGGGCAGGGGCGGAATTATCAGCAGGTTTAGGCGTGGTTCCATCAAGAACACCAAGTAACCCTTTGCCTTCTATGAAGACACGGAACTGAAATTCCCAGAGAGCAAAGTTCGTCGGAGTGAGACGGGCAATTGATTTTTTGGATTCCATAGGCTCTGATACCATGATAGCAGATCAAGCTCACAAACGCAGTAAAGAGACATATCGATTTAATGTGGTATCCCTGGGAATCCAGGAATAATCCACGAAAGAGCTAGGACTCTTCAATCTACAGTTTCACTGTCAGAAAGTGTTCTGAAGCTGCCAAAAAACAGTCTACCATACAACTCCATACACCAAGAATTATATAGCTCTAGGGTTAGGTTTTCACACTCTTCGTCCTAACCGTGCATGGGCTGCATGGGACTCTAACACTAATTATGGGCTTTACATTAAATGGCCCACTAATATACATATGAGAGCCGATCTCTCTCAATAATTGTAGGAGTTCCCTATTTATTTATGAACAAATGATAGTTAATCAGTAAGTAATGTTTTGTTGGTAAATCTGATTCTTGTTAATTGACTGAGCACTTTCCCTTCGAATTCAGATGGAGATGTAGTCATAGCATCTTGCTTGAAAAGATTATTGAGAGGCTAAGTGGTGATTATCCTTAACTAGCTTTCCTCAATGAGATATACACGAGTTAATTTATCGGAGTACGTGGTCTGGCTTGTTTAGAACCTGATGTCTTTTTAGAAGCATACCTTTCAATCTTTTCACGTGAAGAAATCTGCTTATGATCTTGGTATTTCAGGTACTTCAAGTATTGGAGATTTACAGAGAAGAATTTTTATCGATCCCTGTCATACAGGGCAAGAAGAGTGAGATGGAGAAGTTTGTTGGCGGACTTTACACAACTAGTGTTGAGGTAAACAAGATACACCACTTGTCATTGTTTGGCTGGGACAATGTTTCCTATTTTCGGCTTTCCTATTGCTTTAGTATACTGAAAATCCTCAAAATCTTGGGTATATCAGGCATTTATTTTATTCCTAACACCGGACGTGGTGTACAAGGTGCAACTTCACATTGCTTAGGACAGAAGCTTGCAAAAATGTTTGAGATAAACTTTGTAAATGAGAAGGGCGAGAAGGGTATGGTCTGGCAGAATTCTAGGGCTTACAGTACTCGTGCGGTAAGCTCTTTTGGTTGTCATCATACTTTTTCGGATGTTATCTTTGACTTATTGCTAGTGAAGTTACTTACGATGATGTTCTCTTTTATCCTTTACACTCTTCGTTTCTCTCTTTTGTTGGCTTTTGATCCTTGACTTGACTATATACCTACTGAATTCTTGCATCTTTTCTAAAAATGTCACTCTTTTAATTGCCTGCTGAGTTAAAATAATTTGGTCTCTGAAAGCTGATCATTGGTTACTAATTCATTTCCGTGACCAAAAATTTTGGTTGCAGGAATGGTCGCTATAGCCGCGTTACTAATTTCTAACGCAATCAAATCCATGATTGGTAGAGAAAAAGAAAGCTATCGCAACCAATTTTACCAATGCTAAAAAACCTCATATTTTCATGACCATTTTAGATTGGTTGCCATTGTCCAGACTTTTGGTTGGTAAATATAGGTGATTGGTCGCCATAAATACTTATGACAACCATTTTGTGACTATTAGTAACCAATTTATTTGGATGCAAAAGAAACTCATGTAAGTATTATTGGTGACCGTTCAATTTAGTTGTAAAAATAACGTATATCAACCAATAATATCATTATGATGACCAATTCAATTGGTTATCTAAGGTGAATACAACAGTAAAATTTGGTCGTGAAAAATATATACTCCATCCACTCATATCATTTTAGATGACCGATTATTTTTGTTATAAAAGTTTAACACAACCATGAAATTTGATTGCGAAAAATACATACCTCAACCCATTAAATCCTTTTGGCGACCAATTTATTTTTTTATGCAAGTTTAGCACAACATTTAAATTTGGCGTCAAAAGGTTTAAATATGGCCAAAAAAATTGGTTGCCTAAAAATCATTTCACATGACTAATTTTGTCCATGAGATTTTGGTCATTAAAATGCATCCTGATCCATTTAATTGGAAATATTAAATTGAATTATAATAAAAAAAATGATTCCATGTCATCTCATAAATAAAAAAATTCTTTAATAACAAAAATTACAATTATACAGTGTTATCACTAAGAATGAACCCTATATTTCAAAAACAAAAAATACACAAATAAAATTGAAAGCTTTGAGGGGGAACGGATCAGGTTAGTAACTTTATGTGAGTAACTATGAGTAACCCGCCCACATCAGCATGACATCAGCATCCTCTCTCTTCTGGAAAGCCTTTAATTTTCCCCTCTTTAATCTTTGACGAACGATTTCTCACTCGTTTTAAGTCGAAATTTAATTTTTTTTTTTTGCACAGTTAGATCAGATTAATTGTGCTCTTCAAAATGATATCCACTTTGATATATTTTTCGAACAAAAAAATTGAGCCATTTTATACCAGTCTATACCATATGGTATTGACTGGTATTGAAATAAGAGCATACCTATGGTTTGAAAAGCGTACCATGATGGTATGACACTAACCAAAACTGTAGGATGGTTGAATACATGATAGTAGAAGTATATTAATTGTCATTTACGACTTTTAACATTGTATACCATAAGATACCATAAGATACCACCCCGTACCAGGGTGGTATTGTATGGTATTGTGTGGTATTTTTTTGTCTTGTAATTTGTTCACCCATAAATTTATAGATCCAATAGATCATGATGAACTCGTCCCTGCTGTGCAAACGTTTTCAAAAACGAATTAAAAACGAAGAAGATACCATATGGTATGCAGTTGGTACCGAGAGGCCAGAATTTTTTTCCCTAAAAAAATATTGAAAGTTGATCTCATTTTGTAGAGCACGATGAGCTCGTTCCATCTGTGCAAAAAAAAATTAAAATCCGAGTTAAAACGAAAAAGATATGAGTCAATTAAGAAAGCTAGTGAAAATAAAAATGGCCTTTAGTTCTCTATCCTTAGATCTAGATCTTTTAAATGAAGGGTCCAGATTTGGTTATTGATGGGTGCATAACCCATGGTTATGCACCCTAACTTGAGCCCTTTGAGGGCCCTCACTTCCATACAAGGAGCCAGCAAGGATGCCACAGATTCAAGGTATGAGGGATCTTTTCCGAGATAACAGAAGCTGCAATATCAAAAGCTATAGATATAACTTACAGTACCAAAAAGGAAGAGAAATCTACATAAATACTTTTTTATGTTCATTCGTTCAAAGCCCTCTAGACTCCACAGAAGATTGTTGTGGGTTGTAAAACAACATTAATACTTTCTCTTGGTAAGTAAAAAACAACATTATCACAAAAGGTTAAGTACCATGTGTATACTTGAGCAATGTTTTTTTCAATTTTGATATCTGAACATGGAGGCCCTATGTTGTTCCATGATCGATAGAAAAGAAGGCCAACTATAGGCAACTTCAGCCATAACTCTTATCAACAATTGCCTCGCCTGATCCAGCAATTTCTGGACAAATCAAGATCAGTCTCATCCTCCTCATTTGCTTCAGATTTGGCCAATTCATCATCACTTTCCTCCTCATCCTCTTCATGTTCTTTCACACCTGGAGATTCAAGAAAGTGCAAAAACATCTCACACTACCTTCCAGAAAAGAAAAACCTCAACAATAATAATAACATGCCTTTCATTAAGGCAACACACACTGACCATTCTGCTTCTTACCATCTTCAGGAGATAAATGCACGAGAGGAGAAAATAAGTAAAGAACAAACCTAAACTGTAAGTTCCAGGAAATGCATAGCCATCAGTTCTGAACATAACCTATAAGTTTAGGTTTTATTAATTAGAAATTTTTCGTAATCAAAGTTAATAATAGCAGAGACAATAATGTAGGTAAACTGCAGTCCCTCACATTCAGATGATCTTTATAGACATGTAAATGAAGTACGAAACTGACATGTCCCTGCTACACATTGATGGCTGATGCAAACAGTACAAATAGCTGAGAGTAGCCATATTATCAAAACTTTGTTTCCTCTGTGAACCACTACATAACTCATACATTAGCATTGAGAATTGTTTACCCATAAAAATTTACTTTGTACCACATTGGTTAAAAACAAGGAATTAAATGGCTTTATAAGGCCAACTTAATCATATTAGTTTAAATCAGTTGAGTGAGCCATGAGGATTAGGTTTTTTGGCCCATTACTCCGTGCAACCACGCGCGCCATGCAACGCCAAATTTGGCTAAGTATGGGAGCCACCCCCATAACATGCAGAGGGGGGTGGCCATCATACCACACCCCCAGGAGGTACCAAGAAGGGTGACCACCATCATACGCCACCCCCATGACATGGTGAGGGGGGCGATGGTCGAATTTGGCTAAGGCAAAGAGTATGAGAGCCAACCCCAGGACATAGTATGGGGGGTGGACATCATACCACCACCCCCAGGAGGTACCAAGGGGGTTGGCCACCATCATACCGCCACCCCCAGGACGGGCCAAGGGGGGTGGGCATCATACTACCACCCCCAAGACGTGATAAGACGAAAAGAGGTAAAATGTGACTAAGTATGTGTTGATATGACTTGAATCGGACTATCAGCCGCTACGACTGGTAATCGAGGGTCTCGCTGACCGGTCAGCGAGTGGGGTCCAGGGGCAACGCCCCAGTGGGGGTGCGGGGGCGTTGCCCCCGGCCCACGGTGTATGGGCTCAATGTTATTTGGGTTCGGGTTCTGGGCCTGGTCTGTAACCGTTTCCTTTGTCAGATTGGATTAGGTTTAGACCCACATGGAGAAGTACTATAAATACTTCTCATACTCCTCTGTAATCTGTAATCTCCTCGATATAGTGAAACTGCTCTCTCTCGCCCGTGGATTAGCTAACACACATCGTGTTAGTGAACCACGTAAATCGTGTGTCTGTGTTTTTCGATTCTCGCTTTCGTATTCTTGCTTTGTCGATTCCGGCGATTTCCCGATCCGTAGCAGCGCGTTTATAACAAGTGGTATCAGAGCCTGGTTCGGTTCGGGGCGGTGGACGTCAGTTTGGTGGACCCTCATTCGGTGGCCTCGGGATTTGCGATCTGCGTCTGGTTTGGTGGATCCACGAGAGATCCACGTCTGTTTGGCGGATCAAAGACAGTTCCGCGTCTGGGAAAATCCTTGTACCGAGAAGCCCATTGATACAAGGTGTCTGGCGGATCAAGATAATCGCTGAGGTGAGGACACGAAGTTCGTGGTCCTTGTCTTGAGGGGAGGATTGTTAGGGTACAATCCAAGTACCACATTGGAAATACAAGGGAAGGAACCCTTGTATATTAGAGTCCACCTAGCCCAATTAGTACGAGGCCTTTTGGGGAGGACACCCAAGAGTAAAACCGTGCGGGCTTTGCCCAAAGCGGATAATATCGTACTAATTGAGCACCCCGGTTTGACAAGTGGTATCAGAGCCTGGTTGGAAATCAGGCTAGGGTTTTTCGATTCAGAAGAATGACGTCGGTGAACATGAAGATAGAAAAGTTCACGGGGAAGAACAGCTTCGCTATATGGCAGATCAAGATGCAGGCTTTATTGAAACAGCAAGGGCTGTGGGGGCCACTGTCTGCGAAACAGAAGAAGGCAGCGGTCGATGACGATGAGTGGAATACCCTAGAGGAGAAGGCCCACTCGACCATCATGCTATCGTTGTCTGATGACGTCATCATTGAAGTCGCTGCTGAGAAGACTGCCGCGGGCTTGTGGTTAAAGTTGGAGAGTCTGTATATGATGAAGTCCTTAACCAACAAGCTGCATCTCAAGCAACGGTTGTTCAGCTTGAGGATGCAAGAAGGTACGCCTTTGAGGGAACATCTCGAACAGCTTAACTCTATTTTGCTGGATCTGCGTAATATAGATGTTCAAGTTGATGACGAGGATGCTGCCCTAATCCTGCTGGTTTCTTTGCCGAGTTCATATGAGAATTTCGTTGATTCTTTTATTGCCGGTAAAGAAAGCGTGTCGTTGGAGGATGTCAGGTCTGCTCTTCATACGAGAGAGATCAGACATAAGGCGTCCGGATCTGGTACAGGTGGTGAGGCATCGGGTTTGGCTGTCACAGGTGGAAAGGGAAAGAAGAAATCTGGTAAAGGGAATTCGAGCAAGAATTCCAAGGGTCCCGGTCCACAGCCAGGTGATGCTTGTCAAAACTGTAAGAAAGTGGGGCATTGGAAGTACAACTGTCCCAAGAGAAGAGGGCAACAGAAGAAACAAGGTTCAGTTGACGTGGCAGAAGTGGACAACAGTTCAGAAGACGATCTCGCCTTGGCTGTAGATGAGAAGGCACATCGTGGTGATGTGTGGTTTCTGGATACTGCAGCCTCATACCATATGTCTCCGAACAGGGATTGCTTCACAACCTACGAGCAGATAGATGGTGGTAACGTGGTCATGGCTAATGGAGCTGTCTGCAAGGTTGTTGGAATCGGGTCCATAAAGGTTCGGACACATGATGGTTCGTTTTGTACCGTGAATGATGTCAGGCATGTTCCACGAATGACAAAGAACTTGATCTCCTTGAGTCTACTCGACAGCAATGGCTTCAGCTTCAAAGGAAAAGGTGGAGTTGTGTATGTCTGCAAGGGTTCGAGGAAGGTACTGAAGGGCGTGAAGCGTGGGACCTTGTATGCATTACAAGGGTCTGTGTTGTCTGGTTCTGCTGCAGTTGCATCGTCTCAGGTTCAACGGGAAGATATGACCACTCTCTGGCACATGAGACTAGGGCATATGAGTGAACGGGGGATGCAAGTTTTGTCGAAGAGGGATCTTCTTTGCGGGCACAAGGTGCAGAATTTGGAGTTCTGTGAGCATTGTGTGTTTGGGAAGCTACATCGCAGCAAGTTTCCCAAGAAGGGTATCCACCGGACGAAGGGGAGACTGGATTACCTCCACTCCGACTGTTGGGGTCCTGCACGAGTTGAATCCATTGGAGGCAGCAGGTATTTTCTGTCTATTATTGATGATTATTCGAGATTTACTTAGATTTTCATGATGAAGCAGAAAAGTGAGGCTTTCACGAAGTTCGAGCAGTGGAAGACATTGGTGGAGAATCAGACCGGTAAGAAGATCAAGAAGCTGCGAACGGACAATGGTCTGGAGTTCTGTAATTCTGAGTTCAACGAATTCTGCAAGGATGAAGGGATTGCCCGTCATCGGACTGTTAGATATACACCCTAGCAGAATGACATTGCAGAAAGGATGAACCAGACATTGTTGGAGAGAGCACGGTGCATGCTCTCTAATGCTGGACTAGAGAGAAGATTCTGGGCAGAAGCAGTAAACATGGCGTGCTTCCTGATCAACCGTGGACCACACACAGGTATCGAGTGTAAGACTCCTTATGAAGTGTGGTATATAAGCCTACTGATTACTCTTCACTGAAAGTTTTTGGGTGTCCTGTTTATTATCACGTGGATGAGGGTAAGCTGAACCCAAGGGCAAAGAAGGGTGTATTTGTGGGTTACGGAGATGGAGTTAAGGGATTTCGAGTCTGGTCACCTTCTGAGCGTCGAGTTATACTTAGTAGAAATGTGATATTTGATGAGAAGTCTATGTTTAACCCCATGTTGAAGGTTACTGTTGCTGAAGGTAGCAGGAATGTTGATAAGCAGGTGGAGCTGCAAACTCTCAATGAGAGTGAGTTTGAGCACCAAGGTGGAGAAGATCAACATGATGAGGATGTCTCTGCAGAGCCAGAAACTTCAGAGTCCAGTGCACGAGCTAAATTGTCTATTGCTTCCGGTAGACCGAAGAGAGCGACTGCAGGAGTACCTCCACAGAGGTATGGCTTCGAGGACACGGTGGCGTATTCATTTCAGGTTGCTGAGGAAGTGGATGCAGGAGAGCCACAGTCCTATAGAGAAGCAGTTTCGGGTGGTGAAGCTGATCAGTGGCTTGCCGCAATGGGAGATGAGATGGAATCCCATGACAGGAATCAGACTTGGGAGCTAGTCAAAGGACCACATGGAAGGAAGATTGTTACAAACAAGTGGATCTACAAGAAGAAGGAAGGAATCACTTCTAAAGAGGGCATGAAATTTAAAGCTCGGGTGGTTGCACGAGGCTTCTCGCAAAGGGAAGGAGTTGACTACAATGAGATTTTCTCACCAGTGGTCAGGCATACTTCGATCAGAGTGCTGCTAGCAATAGTGGCACATTATGACTTGGAGCTCGAGCAGCTAGACGTGAAGACAGCTTTCCTGCATGGAGAGTTGGAAGAAGAAATTTACATGACTCAGCCAGAAGGATTCGAGGTTTCAGGAAAAGAAGACTATGTTTGTAAGCTGAAGAAGTCCTTGTATGGACTTAAGCAATCTCCGAGGCAGTGGTACAAGAGATTTGACAGTTACATGCTTGAGCTGGGCTACAATAGAAGTCCATATGATTGTTGTGTATATCACAGCAAGGCAGAGGATGGTTCGATGATATATCTAGTTGTATATCATAGCTGCGAGGTCAAAGTCTGATATCCATAAGTTAAAGGGGCTTCTCAGTGCTGAGTTTGAGATGAAGGATTTGGGAGCTGCTCAGAAGATCTTGGGTATGGAGATTTACAGGGA